AACGCAACTATATCATCACTTACACTTGTACCAAGACAATGATTCTTCACCGTCGTGGGATTAGACTACTTGCCAACAGAGCAATAAACAGCATTGGAAGTAAGAGTGTGGCTTTCTGCCTATTGAATCGGATGTTTTAACCAGTCAAACAAAACACATGAGCTTAGAATATACTGTGGGTAATAGTACAATAAAAAATTATTTGTTAAAATTGTCCTTGTGGTTCAGTGGTCAGAGTGTTGGTCCAAGGACCAGAGGGTCTGCGGGTCAAGTCCTGGTCAAGGGCATGGTTCTGGGTTGCAGGTTTCATACCTGTGCCAGTTGGGGTGTGTGCAGGATGTGTCTCTCTCCCATTGATATTCTCTCTCTCTCTCTCTCTCTCTCTCTCTCTCTCTCTCTGACTGCTTCTAAAAAGAAACAAAACATGAAAAAAAAAATTGAATGCAAACAATGTGCTGAAATTCTTGGACTTTGTGGTGTTTTCTATTGTGAATTTACACAAAAATCAGTGCTTTCCTACAGACAGGAATGTACGCTGTGTCCATAGACCCCTAAGGGCTGCACTCGGGTGAGAGACCGTCACAGGGACACGCAGGCAGAGCTATTCCCGTGTGAATCTCCTGGTTGAGGAAGAACCTCACCGATTCTCAAGAAGTGTTTAAAGATTAGAGTTTCATATCACTCTTGGATCCAGTTTTCAACTTATCTAAGGAAAGTGGCACAAATACATATCACGGAAGTAACTCAAGAAATGATTGTGAAATCCTTCATGTAAATACACAGATATGGCAAACGTCTTTGAACTTTGATATCTACCGAGTGACCCCAGTCAACCAGCTTCCTGGTAATTTCACTTAAATCCAGAGCCACACTTGGTAACGGCTCATGAAGCAGATTTGAAACCCCAAACAGCAGCATTGGACTCTCTGTGCTAACACACCCGGGGAGCCCACCATGCAGTTCCTAGTCACGGTCATCCTCACCCTGTGGGTCTCCTGGGCTCGTGGACAAGGTGAGTTGAAACTGACGGGAATATTTAGCTCCTTCTTAAGTAGGACTTTTGCCCTTTTCATTTGTTTTTACTTTTTAAAAAAATACTCACCTGAGGATATTTTTTCCATTGAACTTTAGAACGAGAGTGAAAGGGAGGGAGAAGAGGAAGAGAGAGAGAGAGAGAGAGAGACATAGAGAGAGACATTAATGTGAGAGACACATGGACTGGGTGCCTCTCGCACAAGCTCCGACCAGGGCCCGGGATGGAAACTGCCACCAAGACATGTGCCCTTGACCAGCAGTGGAGCCCACTGGCTATGGGTATTGGAGGGTAATTTACCAACACTTTGGTCTCTGCATTCATTAGGGACAATCTCTCACAATAAGTCATTTGCAGGAATGATGAAAAGTACCGAGACCGGCTAAATAAAAGCCACCTTTGGCCCAATTCATCTGTCCCTGTGCAAACTGGATGTTTCTACTGATTCACAACAGGGAGTGCCAATGGGGGATTATTATCCCAAAATCTCAATGATGGCTTCTAACAGTAGGAACAATGTGGCCTCACACTTTGTACAGTCTCAGCTGTCACTCTTTTGGATAGAGGCCCCGGCCCTGGTAATGTTTTAACAGCACTGTTTACTTTCATGGAGATGATGAGAGTAGGGAATTACAATTTTTCAAGGGATTTATGCCCACTGCCTGAAAGCACCCACCAGAAGTTCTTCTATTCCTAACTAATCTAACAAAATTCTCCCAATAGTATTTGGTTGGTCTCTTAGGGAAACTTGTGTTCTTATACATGTCTCATAGCTTTTGACTTCAAGCATTGGTGTTAAATTAAGTGTAGCTATACTATGAAGTAAAAACTAAGATATGTAGACTGGACTGCAATGGGAATATGAAAATATAATAGACATAGCGGATTAAAGTGAGAGAAAAACACGTATTAAAGTATATATTGATTGATTTCAGAGAGGAAGGGAGAGGGAGAGAGAGTTAG